CGCGGGGGCGCCCGCCCCCCGGCTCCCCCCGAGCCTTTCAAAGCCGCGGAGGGGCTCCGCTCCGGCGGCGGGGCATCCGGCGTACAAGACGACCCCCGATTTTGGGGGGATGTTTTTTAACATCAGAGGTCGTCTTGTACGCCGGAATATACGGTATTTGTTTTATGGAACATATGAACACTTGAGACAAACCAGCTGGGAGGAAGAATTTAATCAGAAAACTCTGAACTATAATTGGGAATTGTTTATGAACACCATACCAGATGCCCAAAAAACCACAATCACGGAAGGTGGCCATATTTGTTAAAAAACTGGTCAGATTTAGGTGAGAGACCTATACTAAAACAAAAGAAACGAGAAATGGAGCGTAATGAATATAAATCAGAAGATGGAAAATGCAGAAAATTGATAAGGGAAACAGGAACACAAGGAAAAATCTATGGACAGCTAAGTACAAGAAGGAGGTTTTTATTAGCATATTAGGAACAAAAAAATTCCTGACAATGCTATTAGTCCATTACTAGAGAAGTAGAACAACAGTCATGCTAGGTCAGACCAATGGTCCACCTAACGTAGTAGCCTGTTTTCAGATATTCACCAATGCCAGCTGCTTCAGAGGAAATGAGCAGAACAGAGCAATTATTGAGTGATCCATCCCCTGTTGTCCAAACTTAGTTTTTCCACAGTCACAGCCTGGGTACACTTTGAATATAATATTAGATCCCTGATTATCTTGACAAATAGCCTTTGATGGACCTATCCTCCATGAACTTACTTAATTCTTTTCATAATTATACTTTTGGCCTTCTCAGTATCCCCTGGAAAGGAGTTCCACAGGTTGACTATGAACTTTGTAGAGAAGTATTTCCATTTTAAACCTAATTTAATCAGGTGAGCCTTGATTCTTGTGTCACCTCCTTATTCACTTTCTCCACACCGGTCATGATTTTATAGACCTCTGAGAGATCTCCTTCTCACCATTATTCATCTCTTTTCCAACGTGAAAAGTCCCATTCTTGTTAATCTCTCCTAATATGAAAGCTGTTCCATACCCTTACTGCTTTTTGCTACCCTTCCTGGTAACGTTTCCAATTCTAATTGATCATTTTTTAAATGGGACAACAAGAACTGCATGCAATCTTCAAGATGTGGCCATATCATGGATTTATATAGTGACACTGTACTTAAACTACTAATTATATATCCCTTTCCTAATGGCTCCTAAAATTCTCTTAGCTTTTTTGACTGGTGCTGCACATTGAATAGATGTTTACAGACAACTATGACTCGAAGATCTCTTTCTTGAGTAGTAATAGCTAAGTTATATATACAAAAGGATGGGATCTAATTGGGATTACGTTTTCCAGTGTGCATAACTTTACATTTACCCACACTGAATTTCCTCTACCATTTTGTTACCCAGTCACTTTTTTTTTTTTTAATTCCTGGTGTAACTTCTTCCAGAATGCTTTGGGCCACTGTCCTGAGTAAATTAACACGTATGCAAATTTTGCCTCCTCATTGTTCACCCCTTTTTCCAGACACTTTATAAATATGTTAAATAGCACTGCTCCATGTACAGATCCCAAAGGGACATCACTTTTTCCTCTGTCCACTATGAAAACTGATACTTAATTTCTACCCTTTATTTCTTATTTTTTAAACAGTTACTGATCCATGAGAGGACCTTTCCTCTATTCCCATTACTTCTTACTTTCCTTTAGAGCCTTGGCAAAGGCTTTCTGAAAGCCTAAGTACGCTATATCTACAGGATCACCTTTGTCCATGTTTGCTGACCCCCCCCCCCAAGAATTCTAATAGATTAGCAAGACTTGATTTCCTTTTACAAAAGTCACATTGAATATTTCCCAACAAATCATGTTAATCTATGTTTCTGATTATACTGTTCTTTACTATATTTCAATCAAATTGCCAGGTACTAAAATTAGTTACTGGTCTCTAATTATTGGTGCTGGAACTAACGGTTCTGCAGCGTTGCTGGACCCTCTGGCTTGAAGCAGTTTCTATTATATCCAGGGTTTATAGTTTGATTCAATGGCTCTCATCACTCTCACTATACAGATTATTCCAGCACCATTTCCTGTAATTGTCAGGAACGTCTCTGAAAACTTCTTAAAAAACTCAGCATCATATTAGCTATCTGCCAGTCATCTAGTTCAGAGGCTGACTTAAGCAACAGATTATATACCACAATTGTTAGCTTTGCAGTTTCATATCTGAGTTCCTTCAGAATTTTGAGATGAATCCCATCTGGTACTGAGGATCATTTACATTACAGATTACCTATCGCAGGTAGTACTACTGATACATCCTATACAAGTTCTATCAGAACTGTCTGGCTAATACCATCCGGTCCTGGTGACTTTTTACTGTTAATTTATCAATTTGTTCCAAAACCTCCTTTACTGACACCTAAGTCTGGGACAGTTCCTCAGATTCATCACCTAAAAAGAATATCTCAGGTATGGGACTCTCACACACAGCCTCTGTAAAGAAGACCAATGAGGAGAAGCTAAATTAATGATTTGCAATGGCCTTTTCTTTCTTGAGTGCTTCTTCAGAATCCTTGATCATCCAGTTGCTCCACTGATTGAAAGACTTTCTGTTTAAATATTTTGCTGTAAGTTTTTTAATCCTTTGTTAGTTGCTCTTCATATTCTTTTGGCCTACCTAATTAAAATTTTACACTTAACTTGCCCGAGTTTATTCTCCTTTTTATCATCCTCATGAGGACCTGAATTCCTGATTTTTTTTAAAAAGATGCCTTTTTGTCTCTTTTCTTGTACTTTGCTATTTAGAATTATCAATACCAATGCAGAAGAGACAAGTGTGTTCAATAAATATTCCTGTTCTGTATTGGGTAAGTGGGGGGACAGAAGTACAATACAACCTCAGAGTTACGAACACCTCAGGAATGGAGGTTATTCATAACTGAACAAAACAGTTCTATCAAAAGTTTACAACTGAACATTGTCTTAATAGTTTTGAAGCTTTACAACACAGTATAAAATGCTGCTTTCCATTTACTTTTAGTAGTTTGTGTTCAACAAAGTACAGGGTGGGGTTTTTTTTGTTCTCTACTGGTGCCTTTGCACGTTGAGTTCCAAATGAATTGTGCAGCT